CTTGCCTCCTGGTCTCAAGAGATCTGCCCACCCACCTCAGCCTTCCGGAATGTTGAGATTACAGGCATGAGCTACTATGCCTGCCCTACCCTATATATTTTTAAATAATAATTTCTTTTTAATGTATCATTTGCAAATAAGGATAGTTTTACTTCTCCCTTTCCAAACCTTTATGTCCTTTTATATTCTTCTTTTCTAACTGAACTACCCAAGACCTCTAGTAAGAGATGTCTTAGAGCTTGGAGAATATTATATTAAGTGAAATAAGCCAAACACAGAAAGATAAACACCAAATGTTCTCACTCCTATGTGGAAGCTTAAAAAATTAACCTTAGCCTGAATAACGTAGCAAGAAATCATCTCTACCAAAAAAACAATTCACCGGACATAATGGTATACATCTGTGGTACCAGCTATTTAGGGAGTTGAGATAGCAGGATCACTTGAACCCAGAAGTCGAGGCTGCAGTGAGCTGTGATCACACCGCTGTACTCTAGCCTGGGCAACAGAGCAAGACTCTGTCAAAAAAAAAAAAAGGACAGGCATGGTGGCTCATACCTGTAATCCCAGCACTTTGGGAGGCCAAGGCAGGCGGATCACAAGGTCAGGAGTTCAAGACCAGCCTGACCAACATGGTGAAACCCAGTCTCTTACTAAAAATACAAAAATCAGCCAGGTGGTACATGTAATCCCAGCTACTTGGAAGGCTGAGGCAGGAGAATCGCTTGAACCTGGGAGAGGGAGGTTGCAGTGAGCCGACAGTGTGCCACTGTACTCCAGCCAGGGTGACAGAGCAAGACTCCATCTCAAAAAAAACAAAACAAAACAAAAAACAATCTGATAGAAGCAGAGAATAAAATAGTGATTAGTCAAGGTAGGGGAGGGGAGGAGAGAAGGAGACATAGCCAGAGGTTGGTTAACAGATATAAAAATATAGCTAGAGGCCAGGCGCAGTGGCTCACGCCTATAATCCCAGCACTTTGGGAGGCCGAGGCAGGTGGATCACGAGGTCAAGAGATCGAGACCATCCTGGTCAACAAGGTGAAACCCCGTCTCTACTAAAAATACAGAAATTAGCTGGGCATGGTGGTGCGCGCCTATAGTCCCAGCTACTCGGGAGGCTGAGGCAGGAGAATTGCTTGAACCCAGAAGGCGGAGGTTGCAGTGAGCCGAGATCGTGCCATTGCACTCCAGTCTGGGTAACAAGAGCGAAACTCTGTCTCAAAAAAAAAAAGTATAGCTAGATAGGGGGAATAGTTTCAAGTGTTCTACAGTATTATATGGTCTCTATAATAAACAAAAATTTATTATATATTTTCAAATTTTTAAGAAGAGCAAAAGTTTTTATTTTTTTAATGACAAGGTCTTGCTCTGTCACCCAAGCTTGAGTGCAGTGGTGTGATTATGGCTCATTGCAGCCATGACTTCCCAGGCTCCTGGGATCCTCCTGTCTCAGCCTCCCAAGTAGCTGAGCCTATAGGCATACACCACCATGCCCAGCTAATTTTTTATTATTTTTTTAATAGAGATGAAGTCCCACAATGCTGCCCAGACTGATATTTTTCTGTTTTTATATAAACACAACACACTTTTACTACTGTAGGTTTGTTCAATGTCTTAAAATCACGTAGTGCACAGACCTTCAAATTTTTCTTCTTTTTCAAGATTATCTTGTCTATTCTAGGTTCTCTGTGTCTTTTAAATGTTAGGCTTGTCAAACCCAAAAATTGGACATTATCAAGTTTCTATACTCAAAAAATACAACAAATAAAAAGGTAAGGTAATATATTTGCAAAACCATATATCTGACAGAGGACATGTAGACAGAATATATAAATAACCCTCACAACTCAACAACATGAAAGACAAGTCAATAAGAAAATGGGCAAAAGATTTCCCTAAGGAAGATATGCAAAAGCCAACAACCACATGACAGATGCTCACCATCAGGAGACACAAGAAAAATGTAAATTAAAACTATGAAATATGACTACATAGCTATTCAAATAGATAAAATTAAAAAGAGAAATGAAGATGTGTATCCTCACAAAGACTTAAACATGAGTGTTTATAGCAGCTTTATTCCCCATAGCTTAAAACTGGAAATGCCTCGGTGCAGTGGTACACGCCTGAGTCCCAGTTGCCCTGAAGGCTGAGGAAGGAAGATTGCTTGAGCCCAGGAATTCAAGACCAGGCTGAGCAACAAAGCAAGACTCCATCTCTCTTTCCTTTTCTTTTTTGAGACAGAGTCTCGCTCTGTCGCCCAGGATGGAGTGCAATGGCATGGTCTTGGCTCACTCAACCTCTACCTCCCAGGTTCAAGCAATTCTCCTGCCTCAGTCTCCCAAGTAGCTGGGATTACAGGTGCCTGCCACCATGCCCAGCTAATTTCTGTATTTTTAACAGAGACGAGGTTTCACCATGTTGGCAGGATGGTCTCAAACTCCTGACCTCATGATCTGCCAACCTCGGCCTCCCAAGGTGCTAGGATTACAGGCGTGAGCCAACGTGCCCATTCAAGACTCTATCTCTTAAAGCAGAAGGAAAAGACAAAAGGAAACAACCCAGATGTCCATTAATAGGTATATGGAGAGACAAAAAGTGGTATATCCATACAATGAACACTACTCAGCAAACATATGGCCAGGCGGGACAGCTGTAATCCCAGCACTTTGGGAGGCTTAGGCTGGCAGATCACTGGAAGTCAGGAGTTCAAGACCAGCCTGGCCAACATGGTGAAATCCTGTCTCTACTAAAAATACAAAAATTAGCCAAGCTTGGTGGCAGGTGCCTGAAATCCCAGCTACTCAGGAGCCTGAGGCACAAGAATCACTTGAACCTGGGAGACGGAGGTTGCAGTGAGCCAAGATCATGCCACTGTAATCCAGCCTGGGCAATAGAGTGAGAACCTGTCACGAAAAGAAAGAAAAGAGAAAGAGGAAGAGAAAGAGAAAGAGAAGAAAAACTAATGATGTATTTGACAACATGAATAAATCTCAAAATCATGATGCCAACTCTCAGATGCCAGACACAAAAGAGCATGTACTATATGATTTCATTAACATAAAATTCTAGAAAATATAAATTAGTATACAGAAAAGAGACTGGCATTTGGCTGGGTTGGGGCCACTTAGAGAACGGACTGTAAAAGAGCATGACACATCTGAGGCAGGTAGTAGAAATAATTTGGTATCTTGATTGTGGTGCTTTCACTGTGTGTAACTGACAAAGCTCACCAAAATATATACTTTGAACTGAGAGTTGACCATGCATCATGGCTCACACCTGTAATCCCAACATTTTGGGAGGCCAAGGTAGGTGAATCACCTGACTCTAAAAGTTCAAGACCAGCCTGGGCAACATGGCACACCCTGTCTCTACCAAAGGAAAAAAAATACAAAAAATTAGCTGGGCATGGTGACACATGCCTCCCTACTTGGGAGGCTGAGGGAGGAGGGAGGATCACTGAGCCTGGGAGGTCACAGCTGCAGTGAACTGTAATTGTACCACTATACTCCAGCCTGGCAACAGAGGAAGACTCCGCCTTAAAGAAAAAAAAAAGTACATGTATATGTGTTTGTGGGTGTATATACTATGCAAAAGCAGCCAGACACAAAATAATACATATATGAAGTTTACATGATGTTACAGAACAGACAAAATTATCTATGGTAATAGAAATCAAACTAACTGATAGAAATAGAAACCAGAAAATTTTGGTATTCTTGTCATGATAGTGTTGGTGGGGATAAGAGGACACAAAACCTTCCTGAGCTAAAAGAAAGATTTTATTTCTTGATAAGATGTACTTGTCAAAACTGCATACTTAAGTTGTGTTTGCTTAACAATATATAATTATACCTCAATAAAACTGAAACAGAAAGAAAAGATAATCTGAACCCATGATGCTCCTAGACCTGATCTTCTTCCATCATGCCATCCAGGTGCATAAACTAAAACTTACATGTCATACTACATCTTCCTCACCCACACCCTCACCCCACAAATCTAATTAATCATCAAGAGATTTTTAATTCATCTCCCAGAATCTTTTCGTATGTCATCCCCAGCAACCTAGTCCTCACCCCCATCATCTCACAACACCTGGACTCTTACATCCACTCTAACCCCTCTTCCATGTCATTCTTTATCCAGCAGGGAGATTAAACTTCTAAAATCCAAGTCTGTTTATGTCCATATTTACATTTAAAACCCTTTGGCTGCTTCTTATTTGCTCTTAACATAATGATAAAATCCCTCAACATGGCCTCCTACGTTCTATGTTGGCTGGCACCCACCTCTTACACTTGTTCTCTGTGCTCCTGACACAGGAGCATTCAATCAGCTCCTTCCAGTTACAGGGACTTTACACAGACTGTTCTCTCTGGCTGAAACACAGTTCCTCCCCCAGTGAACTCCTGCCCATTGTTCAGATTTCAGTTAAGATGTCATTTCCCCAGTGAAGCCTTCTTTAATCAGAGCAAACCTCCTCAATGTGAATTTACCTCTCCATAGCCCAACTGCAATTTTTCATTTGTTGGCCTAATGAATGTTTAATCATAGACTGTCTCCCATCTCCACTTAAGCCTTATGAGGACAGGAAATGGGTCCTGTCTTACCCCATATCTCTGATACCAGAAACAGTGCCTGGTACATACTAGTAGGTATTACATATTTACTGAATAAAATTCATAATCAGCTTTTTGTATTTTTGGTTTGCTTGTTTATTATTCTGTTTTATCTAGCGATGGGCAAAGCATTTGCAAAAAGCCAAGATATTCAAATAGCAGTTGCAGCATTGTCAATATTGTCATCTTTTATTTATTTATTTTCTTCTTTTTTTTAGTTTTTTTGTCCCAAACTCAATATTGTCATCTTTTAAAATGGGCTTCCTAGAGCTTCAAATGATAATTCACATGCTTTCTCATCACAGTAAACAAATCAATACAAATACATTCCATAAAAATATTTTGGCATTTAAAAATTTGTATTGATCTTACCTGCTTTCCTCAAAACTAGGGACAGGATCCGCTGCTTTTTGTGCTTTTCTTGCAAGAAATAAAGGAGCAACTTTCATTTTTCCTTAGAAAAATAAATATTTAGGTTAGTATCAACGTTTACCATCTCTACCTTCAGCTACTTTCAAAACATCTTTTTGGCTTTTACAAATTTAATTTTTTAATTAAAAAATTTCAGCCATGCACGGTGGCTCATGCCTGTAATCCCAGCACGGGCACGGTGGCTCATGCCTGTAATCCCACATGTTGAGACGCCGTGGCAGGCAGATCACTTGACGTCAGGAGTTTGAGACCAGCCTAGCCAACATAGTGAAACCCCATCTCTATTAAAAATACAAACATTAGCTGGGTGTGGTGGCAAGTGCCTGTAATCCCAGCTACTTGGGAGGCTAAGGCAGGAGAATAGCTTGAACCCGGGAGGCGAAGATTGCAGTGAGCTGAGATTGTGCCACTATACTCCAGCCTGGGTAACAAAGCAAGACACCATCTCAATTAAAAAAAAAAAAAATTCCATGGCTGGGCGCGGTGGCTCAGGCCTGTAATCCTAGCACTTTGGAAGGCCAAGGTGAGTGGATCACCTTAGGTCAGGAGTTTAAGACCATCCTGGCCAACAGGGTGAAACCCTGTCTTTAAAAAAAAAAAAAAAATTCCTGTATAATGATCTGTTCTTTCAACCTGGCAATATGAGAATCTCCTGGGGAATTTTTTTTTTAACTAGAAATTCCTACAACCCACCTCTGAAAATTTTTATTCAATATGACGAAGGAAGGACCAAAAGATTTATTAAATGTTTTAATTTACCCAGATGATGATTTTTATGATCAGTCAGGTTTAGGAACCACCAACTTAACCAAAGCCAAAAGATACACAGAAATGAATTAAATTAAAATACACTCAATTTCTCTTTGAACCCCCACCCCCGGCTTTTTTTTTAGATGGAGTCTCACTCTGTCACCCAGGCTGGAGTACAGTGGCGAGATCTAGGGTCACTGCAGCCTCCACATCCCAGGTTCAAGCAATTCTCCTGCCTCAGCCTCCCGAGTAGCTGGGACTACAGGTACATGCCACCACACCCAGCTAATTTTTTGTATTTTTAGAAGAGATAGGGTTTCACCATGTTGGCCAGGATGGTCTCCATCTCCTGACCTCGTGATCCACCCACCTTGGCCTCCCAAAGTGCTGGGATTACAGGCATGAGCCACCACGCCCAGCCTGAAAAACTCTTCACTGGCAGGAGTTTGAGACCAGCCTGGCTAACATGGTAAAACCCTATTTATTAAAAATACAAAAAATAGCTGGGCATGGTGGCATAGGCCTGTAGTCCCAGATACTTGGGAGGCTGAGGCAGGAGAATCGCTTGAACCTGGGAGGCAAAGGTTGCAGTGAGCAGAAATCACACCACTGTACTCCAGCCTAGGTAACTGAGCAAGACTCTGATTCAAAAAAAAAAAAAAAGAGAAAAGAAAAAAAATAAAAACTCTTCACTATATCATAACTTTACTTACTAAAATAGAAATATAATACAGTTGAAGTCTTATGTAAGATACGAAATTTGAATCATGAGCACATTCAGAATACCCCAAAACACAAAAACAAAACAAAAAAACCCAAACATTCTAAAATACATCCTAAATGTTATTAAATCTGATTACCAGGTACATCTTTAGTGGCTGTGTTAAGTTTTTTTTCCTAGCACATCATTTAAACACTGAAGTTTCTTCTGATTTTTCTCCGGATGCTTTAAAGAAGTAGCACTTGAATCTATTATTATAACTGAGTCCTAAAACAAAATAAGAGAAATTTAATTAAGTCATATAATTAATGTCACTGAAATTTCAAAAGAATCACAGTGATAGAAACCATAGAAAAAATAATTACCAGCTCCATACATCTCCCCATCAGAGATTACCTGATAGAAACAGAAAACACATGCCAGGCTGGGCATGGTGGCTCATGCCTGTAATCCAAGCACTTTGGAAGCCAAGGTGGGCAGATCACCTGAGGTCAGGAGTTCAAGACCAGCCTGACCAACGTGGTGAAACCCTGTCTATAAAAAAAAAAAAGAAAGAAAGAAAACACATGCCAGAATAGCAGGAATCCAAGCTCACATCATACAAGTTTATATGATATCAGAGTGAGTTTATTATGACCATGGGCTTTCTTTTTTATTTTTTTTATTTTTATTTTTTGAGACGGAGTTTCGCTCTTGTTGCCCAGGCTGCAGTGCAGTGGTGCAATGTCGGCTCACTGCAACCTCCATCTCCCAGGTTCAAGCAATTCTCCTGCCTCAGCCTCCCAAGTAGCTGGAATTACAGGCACACACCACCACACCCAGCTAATTTTGTATTTTTAGTAGGGACAGAGTTTCACCATTTTGGCCATGCTGGTCTTGAACTCCTGACCTCAGGTGATCCACCTGCCTCAGCCTCCCAAAGTGCTGGGATTACAGGCATGAGCCACCACATCTGCTCTCTTTTTGTTTTTTTTTTTCTTTGTTTTGTTTTGAGACAGAATCTCACTCTGTCCCCCAGGCTGAAGCACTGCAACCTCCACCTTCTGGGTTTGAGCGATTCTCCTGCCTCAGCCTCCCGAGTACCTGGAACTACAGGCACATGCCACCATGCCTGGCTAATTTTTATATTTTTGGTAGAGCTGGGGTTTTGCCATGTTGGCTAGGCTGGTCTCAAACTCCTGACCTCAGGTGATCCACCTGCCTCAGCCTCCCCTCCCATAATGAAACCCCGTCTCTACTAAAAATACAAAAAATTAGCTGGGCATGGTGGCGCATGCCTGTAATCCCAGCTACTCAGGAGGCTGAGGCAGGAGAATTGCCTGATTATTTTTTGTTGTTGAGACAGAGTCTTGCTCTGTTGCCCAGGATGGAGCACAGTGGCATGATCTCGGCTCACTGCATCCTCCGCCTCCTGGGTTCAAGCAATTCTCCTGCCTGAGCTTCCCGAGTAGCTGGGATTACATTACAGGTCCATGCCACCACGCCTGGCTAATTTTTAAATTTCTAGTACAGATGGAGTTTCACCATGTTGGTCAGGCTGGTCTCAAACTCCTAACCTTATGATCTGCCTACTTAAGCCTCCCAAAGTGCTGGGATTACAGGCATGAGCCACTGTGTTTAGGCTATTATTTTTTGTTATTGTTATTTTTTATTTTTATATATTCCACCAGAAGAGTCTGGAATACAAGCAAAGCTTGAAGGAGTTGGTAAAATGTTCAGAATAGACAAAAAGTGGAAACAACACAAATGTCCATCAACTGATGAATGGGGTATTTGGCAATAAAAAGAAATATGAGGCTACAACATAAATCCTGAAAATACATCCTAAGCAATAGAAACCAGACACAAAAATATCACGTTATATGATACCATTTATATGAAATGTCCAGAACAGACAAATCTAGAGACAGAAAAAGATTAGTAGTTAGCTAGGGCTGTTGGAATGACGGGACTGGGGAGTGACAACTAAGAAGAAAAGAGTTTATTTTTGGGGTAATGAGAATGTTCTAAAATTGACTATAGTAATAAATGCACAATTCTATCAATATACAAATGCCACTGAACTGTACACTTTAAATGGTGAAGTGCATGGTATATGAATTATATCTCAATTAAACTTGCTTTTTGTTTTGTTTTGTTTTTCTTTGAAACAGAGTTTTGCTCTTGTTACCCAGGCTGGAGTGCAATGGCGCAATCTCGGCTCACTGCAACCTCCGCCTCCTGGGTTCAGGCAATTCTCCTGCCTCAGCCTCCTGAGTAGCTGGGATTACAGGCACGTGCCACCATGCCCAGCTAATTTTTTATATTTTTAATAGAGACGGGTTTCACCACGTTGACCAGGATGGTCTCGATCTCTTAACCTTGTGATCCACCCGCCTCAGCCTCCCCAAGTGCTGGGATTACACGTGTGAGCCACCGCGCCCGGCCCAAATTTGTTTTTTTTTTTTTTTTTTTTGAGATGGAGTCTCACTCTGTCACCCAGGCTAGAATACAATGGCACAATCTCGGCTCACTGCAACCTCTGCCTCTCCAAGCGATTCACCTGACTCAGCCTCCTGAGTAGCTGGGATTACACATTCGCATCACCATACCTGGCTAATTTTTGTATTTTTAGTAGAGACAGGGTTTCACCATGTTGGTCTTGAACTCCTGACCTCATGATCCACCCACCTCGGTCTCCCAAAGTGCTGGGATTACAGGCGTGAGTCGCCATGCCCAGCCACAACTTAAGTATTTTTTTCAAAAGGGGAGGTACTGGCAGTTGGCAGGATCTCAAAGCTTGAGTGGGAATTCCTCACATAGAAGAGAGTACCTGGAATGTATATTTCAAGCTGATAACAATAAAATGAATACCGTGAAAACTGCACCATTTAGGGAAAAATGAACAATTTAGTGTGACTAGAGCAAAGAGTTGTTTTGAAGAAAGGGAAGAGGGCCAGGCACAGTGGCTCACACCTGTAATCCCAGCACTCTGGGAGACCAAGGCGGGTAGATCACCTGAGTTCAGGAGTTCAAGACCAGCCTGGCCAGTCATGGTGAAACCCCATCTCTACTAAAAATACAACTGTAATCTCAGCTACCTGGGAAGCTGAGGGAGGAGAATTGCTTGAACCCGGGAGGTGGAAGTTGCAGCACGCTGAGATCATGCCACTGCACTCTAGTCTGGGCAATAAGAGCAAAACTCTGTCTCAAAAAACAAAAAAAAAGGAAGAGGTAGTTCAGCCTGTGAAAGATCTTGAGTGACTTAAGAAGAATTCAAACTGTATTCTGCAAACAAAAAAGCAGAAGGCTTTTAAAGCAAAACTGAAAATAATATTCTTTCTACCACTTCAAGCTATCACACAAACCTACCTTATAACTTTATAATACTTTCCTTCTTCCACTCCAAACAGCAAAATAGAAGAGAATTTATACCAACAGATATTTGTAATACTTACTTCTGTTTCAGACAATTTCTTCCTTTCAGAAAGTGTCTGATGCCTAGAGGAGCGCCTTAAGGGAATCACTATTTCTTCAGTTACCTTTGACCTACTGATGTGTAAAGCTTTTGCTTTTTCAATCAATTGTTTTGCTTTTGATATGTTTTTGGAAGCACTGCTTGCCTAGACAAAAAAAATTGAAATATTAATTTATATCACTGGAAAATATTTTATATTTACTAATAGAAAAAATACAATTGCAAATCACATTAAATAATCAATAAAGAAATGGTTATTCAAATATTACCAAGGACCTTAAATTGAAATGTATCTAGTTATTATTAGTTTGCCTTTATTTCTTACTTGAAATTATCCAAGTAGGCCGGGCGCGGTGGCTCAAGCCTGTAATCCCAGCACTTTGGGAGGCTGAGGCGGGTGGATCACAAGGTCAAGAAATTGAGACCATCCTGGTCAACATGGTGAAACCCCATCTCTACTAAAAATACAAAAAATTAGCTGGGCATGGTGGCGTGTGCCTGCAGTCCCAGCTACTCAGGAGGCTGAAGCAGAAGAATTGCCTGAACCCAGGAGGCAGAGGTTGCGGTGAGCCGAGATCGTGCCATTACACTCCAGCCTGGGTAACAAGAGCGAAACTCCGCCTCAAAAAAAAAAAAAAAAGAAGAAACTATCCAAGTAAATAAATTTACATGTGAACAAAACACCAGTCTGTAGTATAGACTTGGCAGTGTATTTTTAAATTTTAGTCACCAAATTCAAGCAAAGTACTTTCCAAATACAAACAGTTACCCAGTCTCCTGTATGCATGGCTCTGGGCTGGATACTATCAAGAAAATAGTATTATAACACATGGACCTTGGCCTTAAGGGTTTTTTTTTTTATTATTATTTAAGACAGAGTCTAGCTCTGCCATCCAGCCTGGAGTGCAGTGGCATGACCTCAGCTCACTGCAACCTCCCCCTCCCAGTTTCAATAGATTCTCCTGCCTCAGCCTCGAAGTAGCTGGGACTACAGGAGCCTACCACCACACCCAGTTAATTTTTGCATTTTTAGTAGAGACCTGGTTTCACCATGTTGGCCAGGCTGATCTCAGATCCTGACCTCCGGTAATCTGCCTGCCTTGGCCTTTCAAAGTGCTAGGATTACAGGAACGACCCACGATACCCAATCTCAAGGTTCTTATATATGATAAAGAAGAAAGAGTACAAACAGGTAAAGTACAATTATATAGTATACATTATTATTGTGTGTATTACTATGTGTATATACATCACACATACCTACATATATATATAGAGAGAAACAGAGACAGAGCAAGAAGATCTATTACATAAAAAATACAACATAAGCCCAGGTGCAGTGGCTCATGCCTGTAATCCCAGAACTTTGGGAGGCCCAGGAGAGATCACTTGAGCCCAGGAATTCAGAGCCAGCCTGGGCAATATAGCAAGACCCTATCTCTACAAAAATTTAAAAATTAGCCAGGCATGATGGTGCAAACCTGTAGTCCCAGGTACTTGGGAGTCTGAGGTGGGAGATGGATTGAGCCTGGGGAGTTGAGCCTGCAGTGAGCCGTGATTATGCCACCACACTCCAGCCTGGGCAACAGAGTAAAACTGTCTCAAAAAAACAAACAAGAATTACAACATAAGGCCGGGCGCGGTGGCTCAAGCCTGTAATCCCAGCACTTTGGGAGGCCGAGGTGGGTGGATCACGAAGTCAAGAGATCGAGACCATCCTGGTCAAAATGGTGAAACCCCGTCTCTACTAAAAATACAAAAAAAATTAGCTGGGCACGGTGGCATGTGCCTGTAATCCCAGCTATTCAGGAGGCTGAGGCAGGAGAATTGCCTGAACCCAGGAGGCGGAGGTTGCGGTAAGCCGAGATCGCGCCATTGCCCTCCAGCCTGGGTAACAAGAGCAAAACTCCGTCTCAAAAAAAAAAAAAAGAATTACAACATAATAGTTTAGAGTACAAAGAGTATTTTAGGCTGAATCCTTTGGAGCAAGGTTGAAAAGCTATTTTGATATGGAAAAAGAGCATCAGGTAAGAATAAAGTCTGACCTTCAGGCTTAGCATTGCCATTGATGTACAATGTGACCATGTACATTTAAATATTATCTTCCAGAGAATGTGCTTTCCATATTGAGTTCAACAAGTTTTTATGTTGGAATTAAACATACACAGAAAGATGCAGAACAGTTTACATTATATGATCGATCCCTTTATAAAAAATATATACATTTAAACAGAGAAAAGATGTCTGGAGAGAAAAAAATGTAACTATTAAAAAACTATTATCTGCAAAGATAAACAATAAACTGTTATCAATATGGAGTTCTTAGGAGAACCAGTTTACTCCTTATTCTCACAGAAACATGAAAAATCTGGCCAGGCACAGTGGCTCATGCCTGTAATACCAGCTTTGTGGGAGTCCAAGGCTGCAGGACTGCTTGAGTTCAGTAGTTTGAGAACAGCCTGGGCAAAATAGCAAGACCTCGTCTCTACAAAAATAACAAATGGGAAAAAAAAAAAAAAGAAAAAAGAAAAATCTCACCCAGAAAATTACTAAGATTCTCTCCTAGAGCTAGTACACAAGCCTGAATAAGGCTTCAGTAAACAAGGGCCCTGTGGTAAGAGGTTCATTGACAAACTGAGACAAAATAACTGATCTAAGTTTGGATAAAGGTCCTAATTTGGATACATTTAATTTTGAGACTTCTGTTGCCAGAAAATTTAGTATTAAATCCCAATTTTAAGTAGTACATGAGGAAACTTGAAGCTGTCTTCTAGAATTGAGAAAAATAAAATATATGGGACAAAGTTCACCACAGAGACTTTTAACCTTTAGCTGTAGTACAATCAGCTGGAATCCTGCATGTTTTCCCAAAGACTACAGACTATCTTTCTAACTACTTACAGTTGTGTAACCCTAGGAAAGACACTTCCCAGAATCACAAATAAAAACCTTTTCCTTATCCTACGAACTGACAGCAAGTTTCTTCATCTACAAAACAGGGTTAAATATTTACCTTATGAGATGAATGATGTGAGTACTAAGCACAGTGCCTAGAATGTGATGTCAAAAATGATAGCTGTTAAATAAAAGCAGAGGAAAGTGGTTTTCACCCAAGGATTAATGCAGAGTCACCTTGGTGGCTTTTTCAAAACACACATACCCTGTACCTGCTCCAATTCTGCCACGGTGGAGACAAGGAGCTTATTTTGCAGAAACAACTAAATCATTCTTATATATTTTATCTCTCCCTTTAGATCTGTCGTTTTTCAAGTGGAAGTGATTATTTTCCCCTCCAGGGGATATTTAGCAATGACTGGACACATTTTTGGTTGTCATAATACGGGAGTTACTTGGGGTGCTACTGGCATCTTATGGATAGAGGCCAGAGTGCTGCTAAATGCACAGGACAGCCCTCCACAGCAAAGAATTATCCAACCAAAATGTCAGTATTAGCAAGGTTGAGAAACTCTGTTTTTGAGTCTCTAATCTACAGAAATAAGCCAAAAATTCAATCATGACCTATAGGTACTGTGACAGACTGAATGTATCTCCTGAAAATTCGTACGTTGGAATCCTAACCCTTTATGTGATGGTATTAGGAGGTCATGAGGGTGGAGCCCTCTCTCTACATGTTCTCTACCATGTGAGAAAACAAGACAGCCATCTGCAGACCTCATCAGACATTGCATCAGCTGACGTGTAATTGTGCATTTCTCAATCCCCATAACTGTGAGAAATATATTTGTCGTTTAAGCCACTCAGTCTACAGTAATTTGTTACAGCAGCCCAAACTAAGATCGGCAGTGTTAGGGAAACTGATCACAATATAAACTCACTAAAAAAGCTTTTCATAAGTAAATTACACTCTGCCTTTATCAATTGCTTTCATCTCACAATAAGGTATCTTAATCAACCAGAGGAAAGAGATAATAGTGAAAAATATCATAGGGTTGTAGTTAACCAATTTATGAAATACACGAATTTTCTTTTGGCTCAGTACTTCCAATAGTAATGTGGGGTTTTTTGGTATCTTATTTTTGTTTTTGCTTTGAGATGGAGTCTTGCTGTGTCACCCAGGCTAGAATGCAGTGGCATGATCTCAGCAACCTCTGCCTCCTGGGTTCAAACGATTCTCCTGCCTCAGCCTCCCAAGTAGCTGGGACTACAGGCGTGCGCCACCACACCTGGCAAATCTTTTGTACTTTCAGTAGAGAAGAGGTTTCACCATATTAGCCAGGATGGTCTCGATCTCCTGACCTCATGATCTGCTCACCTCAGCCTCTCAAAGTGCTGGGATTACAGGCATGAGTGACTGTGCCTGGCCTTTCATTTGTTTTTTAGGGAAACAGAATGCCACTTATAGGACTCTCTAATATTTTAATTACCTTTCTAGTCTGAGAAATAAAATCTCCATCACTTGCTTCAGATTTCTCAGATCTTTTGTTGGATTTTTTCTTGGATTTTTTGGGAGTACTAATTCTGGTGAATTTCATTCTGAAAGAAAAATATTTAGAAACATTTTCATGATTATAACATACAAGAATCTCAATTAAATGTAGATAAGATAGAGCTGGTACAGAGGTGTCTGCATGTAATCCCAGTTACTCAGGAGCCTGATATGGAAGGATTGCTTGACTCCAGGAGTTCAAGACCAGACTGGTCAACACAGTGAGACCTTGTTTCCAGATAGATAGCTAGAGATACGTAGATAGACAGATAGCTAAGAACCAACTAGGGCTCCAATTTCTGGACTGTTCTAAAACGGGAGAAAAAAAATAATTCCCATCAATTTCAAACCAGTGATTCAAAAGTAAGTCAAACTCACTGGGCATGGTGGCTCACACCTGCAATACCAATACTTTGGGAGGCCGAGGCAGGCAGATCAGTTAAGGTCAGGAGTTCAAGACTGGCCTGGCCAACGTGGTGAAACTCCGTCTCTACTAAAAATATAAGAAATTAGCAGGGTATGGTGGGACGCATCTGTAATCACAGCTACTCAGGAGCTGAGGCACAAGAATTACCTGAACCCAGGAGGCAGAGATTGCTGTGAGCTGACATCACCCCACTGCACTCCAGCCTGGATGACAGAGTAAGACTCCATCTCAAAAATGAAATAAAATAAAATATAAAAATTAAAATTAAAGCCCAGGCTCGGTGGCTCGCACTTGTAATCCCAGCACTTTGGGAGGCCAAGGCAGGTGGATCACAAGATCAGGAGTTAGAGACCAGCCTTATCAACATGGTAAAACCCTTTCTTTACTAAAAATACAAAAATTAGCTAGGCGTGGTGGCACATGCTTGTAATCCCAGCTACTCAGGAGGCTGAGGCAGGAGAATCGCTTGAACCCAGGAAGCAGAGGTTACAGTAAGCCGAGATCACACCACTGCACTCCAGCCTGGGTAACAGAGTAAGATGCCATCTCTGGCATAAATAAATAATTTATATATTATTTTTATATATATATAATAAATAAATTTTTTTTTTTTTTGAGACGGACTTTCGCTGTTGTTACCCAGACTGGAGTGCAATGGCATGATCTTGGCTCACCGCAACCTCCGCCTTCTGGGTTCAAGCAATTCTCCTGCCTCAGCCTCCCAAGTAGCTGGGACTACAGGCATGCACCACCATGCCCAGCTAATTTTTGTATTTTTAGTAGAGACGGGGTTTCACCTCATTGACCAGGATGGTCTCGATCTCTTGACCTTGTGATCCACCCGCCTCAGCCTCCCAAAGTTCTGGGATTACAGGCGTGAGCCACCGAATCCGGCTAATAAATAATTTTTTAAACAAATTCAAAATTAAATAATTAAATGTGGCAAACAAGGAAGCATTTTTGAAGCTCTGTTCTTTTCTTCAAGGCAGGGCATGGTGGCTCATGCCTGTAATCCCAGCACTTTGGGAGGCCAAGGTGGGCGGATCATCTGAGGTTGGGAGTTTCAGACCAACCCGACCAACATGGAGAAACCCAGTTTTTACTAAAAACACAAAATTAGCCAGGCGTGGTGGCATAATCTCAGCTACTAGGAAGGCTGTAATCCCAGCTACTAGGGAGGCTGAGATAGAAAAATCGCTTGAACCCAGGAGACGAAGGTAATGGTGAGCCGAGATTTTGCCATTGCACTCCAGCTTAGGCAACAAGAGCAAAACTATCTCGAAATAAGAGAGAAAGAAAGAGGCCGGGCGCGGTGGCTCAAGCCTGTAATCCCAGCACTTTGGGAGGCCGAGGCGGGTGGATCATGAGGTCAAGAGATCGATACCATCCTGGACAACATGGTGAAACCCCGTCTCTACTCAAAATACAAAAAATTAGCTGGGCACAGTGCGCGCGCCTGTAATCCCAGCTGCTCAGGAGGCTGAGATAGAAGAATCGCTTGAACCCAGGAGACGAAGGTTACGGTGAGCCGAGATTGTGCCATTGCACTCCAGCCTGGGCAACAAGAGCGAAACTCCGTCTCAAAAAGAAAAGAAAAAAAAGAACTCCTCTTCTTTTTCTTGTAAATAGCTATGTTCTAGAAAAAAAATAATACCCTCCAATGCTTAAAGCATTTTTGTCCCCAGCTGATAATACATTCATAATACTAGAATTTTAGAACAAAAACAAACCTTACCTAATAGGGCTCTCTGAATCAAAGGGTACTGTTATTAATTCCGCTGTGTATAAGCTATGCTTCTCCGGTAAGTTGGCTGCTTTGGGAGTGGAAGCCTTTATTGGACTGCTATCTTGTACATCTTCAGAATCAATACCTCTGATGGTTTCTATAGTAGGTATACTGTTAATTCTTCCAGATCTTCTGGTTGACTTGGGTGTGGAAACATTTAGCAAGCTGTCTTCAGATTCAGCCTTAGAATGTGTAACCTTAATATCTTTAACTGGTATGCTGGTTTTTCTTGACGATTTATTATTGTTACACAGAAAAGAAACCTTCAGAAGGTCATCATTTGCTATATCTTCACTAACAAGACTTTCATTGTCAAATAAAGTGCTGCTTTTGAAAAATTCTGTTTTCTTTTGTCTTAAAGTCATTCTATTTTGATACTGTTTCTCGTTTAAGTAAAAGGTTGTTTCTTTCTTTTGAGTGTTTCCCTCTATGTTTTCAGCTGGAATAGCCCCAGTATCTAATGTTTTCTTATTCTTCTTTAGCTTTTTACTTTTCTCCTTTGGAAAAGTTCCTTTATCAGTGTGTGACCGTGAATTGCCATTTTTTGAAACCATTTGGATACTAGAATTTTCCATGATTTTTTTAGAATTGTCATCTCTTCCTTCTTCACGTAGAGATTTTTCATTAAGGTCTTTCTGCTTATCAGAAGACTTTTTAACTCCATTTTTAAGTGCATCTGATGCCGGCTGCCTAAATGCTTTCATAAATTGCTGTCTTTCTTCTAGGGTGCATTTTGGTTTCACAGCTTCAGAACTTCCAGCTTCCAACACAGCCAATTCTAATTCTTCCTCCTGTATAACAACATTAGATTTTCTTTTCTGAACTGTCTGTTCATTCTCAGGATCAGATAAACTATTTTCCATTTCAAATTGCTTTTGTTTCAAGAAAATTGGGGGTATTTTCCCTATCTTTTTGGGGGGAATAGGGTGAACCTGTGCAAGAACAGTAACTGTCTTAAAGCGTACCTGCTGGGAAATTTCAGAGTTTTCTGATTCACCTGCATAACCACTTCTTACTACTTCTTCAACAGTTTCAGAAGGAACACAAATTGACACTGTAGAGTCTGGTATCTCTTCCACTTGATTTTCCTTGTGACTTTTTAAAAATTCCTCATATGAGACAGTTATTATACTATCATTCAACTGGGCTGCTTCAGTTACATTTTCTCTAGAGTTTGCATGACTTGTAGTATTCTCCACCTGTTTACTATCTTTACCATCTTTTTTAAGCAAATTTAGTTCCTCTGCCAAGGGTAAGCTTTCAGATAGATCTACTACATCTCTGCACTTCCTTTTTCTCAACTTTTTGAAGTCATTTTTTGTGGTCCCTTGTTTAAGATTTACTTTTTTAGAATTTTGCAGGGAGCTCACAGTATTTGGCTGACTTTTTATATCTTGAATGTTTTCTCCACGTACCTCTACTTGTTTCTTGTAATGTAAAACAGAAGTACTACTTTCCACAAGATCATTATTTAAACTACAGTCGTCTTTGCTATCATCGCTACTAATTTCAATTGGAGCTTCATTTTCAGTTTTAATATTATTTAGTTGATGAGATAAATTAACCCTCTTTCTTTTCTTCTTAAACTCTACATTTGAGAACATTTCCAAAGGTGTCTTACAATCTTTGCTGCTGTCAACAGGTAATGATTCAGATGACTTTATCTTGCACTCTTTCCCTAATTGTGTCTTCTCATTTGTGGGTGAGGTCTTTCTAAAATAATCCAGAATATTACTAGGTTTTGGTGGAGCAAAAAGCCTGTCTCCAGTCTTCCCTAGTGGTGATAAATATTTTGTAATTGTTTTACAGGAAGATCTGTCATCATCTTTCCTTCGTTTTTTGCATGGCTAACAATTAAAAAGAAAAAAAAAAGGCACTTATTTCAAGCAAGATAATACAAAATATAAATTTTAAACAGGGATCTAATAGTTTACATAATAGGATTTTTTTTTAAAGCCTCCTTTAGTTGAAAAACATGATACATCAGAAAGAAAATAAGGTTTTTTTCTTTTTTTTTGAGATGGAGTCTCACTCTGTCACCCAGGCTGGAGTGTAGTGGCACGATCTTGGCTCACTGTAACCTCTGCCTCCACAATTCAAGTGATTCTCCTGCCTCAGCCTCCTAAGTAGCTGGAATTCAGGTGCATGCCACCACACCTGGCTAATGCTTATATTTTTAGTAGAGACGGGGTTTCACCATATTGGCCAGGCTGGTCAGAACTCTTGACCTCATGATTAGCCTGCCTCAGCCTCCAAAAGTGCTGGAATTACAGGTGTGAGCCATCACATTTGGCTGTAGGAAGAAAATAAGCTTTATAGTTAAACCAGACCAGGCACGGTGGCTCACACCTGTAATCCCAACACTTTCGGCGGCCAAGGCGGCTGGATCACTTGAGGCCAGGAGTTTGAGACCAGCCTGGCCAAAGAGGTGAAACCCTATCTCTACTAAAAATACAAAAATCAGCTGCGTGTGGTGGCTGGCACATGCCTGTAATCCCAGCTACTCGAGAGGCTCAAGCAGGAGAATTGTTTGAACCTGAAAGGCTGAAGTTGCAGTGAGCCAAGATTGTGCCACTGTATTTCCAGCCTAGGCGACAGAGCAAGATGTCATCTCAAAAAACTAAGTAAATAAAAAATAAAGTTAAATCTACATTCAAATCTCAACGTCATATCAAGCTGTACACTCATAATTTGTGCACTTTACTATACACATATATATACATACGTCAGTACAAACTTTATATTAAAACAAAACCCGCCGGGTACAGCGGCTCATGCTTGTAATCAGCACTTTGGGAGGCCAAGGCAGAATTGCTTGAGCCCAGGAGTTCAAGACCAGCCTGGGCAACATGGTGAAACTCCATCTCTACGGAAAATACAAAAAAATTAGCTGAGTGTGCTAATGCGAACTGTACCTACCTACTAGGGAGGATTAGGTGGGAGGATGGCTTGAGCAGGGAAAGTGGAGGTTGCAGGGAGCCAAGATCAGGCCACTGTACTCCAGCCTGGGCAAGATCTCAAAAAAAATATTTTGGCCGGGCGCGGTGGCTCAAGCCTGTAATCCCAGCACTTTGGGAGGCCAAGGCAGGTGGATCACAAGGTCAAGAGATTGAGACCATCCTGGTCAACATGGTGAAACCCCATCTCTACTAAAAATACAAAAAATTAGCTGGGCACAGTGGCAGGTGCCTGTAATCCCAGCTACTCAGGAGGCAGAGGCAGGAGAATTGCCTGAAGCCAGGAGGTGGAGGTTGCGGTGAGCTGAGACTGCGCCATTGCACTCCAGCCTGGGTAAAAAGAGCGGAACTCCTCAAAAAAAAAAAAAATTTTTTTTTTTAAAATACGACCTTATTGGTTACAAAAAGCTCCCTCAGCCTTTATTTTTGAACTTCTCTCAGTTCATTTATTAGAATAAACTTGTCAGAATAACAAGGACTTTTTTTTAAAGATAATATAGGGGGGATTTACACTTCTAGAAAACTAAAACATATTACAAAGCTATCATGATCAAATGCAAAATACTGATTCGAGAATAGGCAAGCAGCTCAATGGAACAGATTAGAAAAGCAGAAGCAGACAATTTTAAATTTTTGTATATGTTAATAGTAGCATGGGCCAGGTGTGGTGGCTCACGCCTATAATCCCAGCACTTTGGGAGGCCGAGGCAGGTGGATCACAAGGTCAAGAGATCAAGACCATCCTGGTCAACAAGGTGAAACCCTGTCTCTACTAAAAATACAAAAATTAGCTGGGCATGGTGGTGCGCGCCTATAGTCCCAGCTACTTGGGAGGCTGAGGCAGGAGAATTGCTTGAACCCAGAAGGCGGAGGTTGCGGTGAGCCGAGATTGCGCCATTGCACTCCAGTCTGGGTAACAACAGCAAAACTCCGTCTAAAAAAAAAAAAAAAAAAAAACAGTAGCATTCAAGTTAGTGGGCAAAGGAGTAATAAGTATTATTAGGACAAATTTCTAAACATTTGGATAAATATGAGGCAAAATAAGTTACAGACAGATTAAAATTGTATAAGTTAAAACAAAATCAGGTTGGGCTCAGTGGCTCATGCCTGTAATCCCAGCACTTTGGGAGGCCGAGATGGGCAGATCTCTTGAGGTCAGGAGTTTGAGACCAGCCTGGCCAACATGGTGAAACCCTGTTTCTACTAAAAATACAAAAATTAGCTGGATGCGGTGGTGCATGTCTGTAATCCCAGCTACTTGGGAGGCTGAGGCAAGAGAATTGCTTGAACACAGGAGGCAGAGGTTTCAGTGAGCTGAGATTGCACCACTGCACTCCAGCCTGAGTGACAGCGCAAGACCCTGTCTAAAAAAAAAAAAAAAAAAAAGGAATCATACACATATTAGAAAAATGCCATTGTTATTATTTATAAAACTGCAACTATATCAACGGCAACATACATAGGTTCTGGAGTGTGGCAGATCTAAATTCAAATGCTGGCTCTGACATTTACTGATATAGAATCTTAAGCAAATTACTTTTAACTTTTCATTTACTTTTTCAAAAAAATTAACTTACTTTTAGCTATTTTTTACCTTCTTTTATTTGTAGAATACAGTTAACAGATCATAAGGTTGCTGCTAAGCCAAATAATGTGTATAAGGTTCTTACCCTTACTTTATTAAATGCTAAGTAACATTATTATGAAATAGGGTCTCTTAGCAGTAGGGCACCAAAACCAGAAACTGATGGAAAGATTAATAGAACAGACCACATAAAAATCAAGAACTGTACATCAAGTACCAGAAGTCCTTTCCACACCTGAGACAAGTTGAGTAACTAGCTGCCTTGATTTAACAAAGGAGTATCAGCATAACAAGTAAGTAGACAAAAGTCACCAGATTCTAAAAAACAAACAACTGGTCACAGTTACATGAACATACATACATCTTAGCTCTCTTCAAGGAGGCCAAGATACATGCTTCAGTTAAATGCTAGTCTGAGATGAAAAGGTGTAAAATACAGCAAGTCTGCCTTAAGATGCTAGCCCACTACTTGCATTAGAATCTCTATAATGGGCTGGGCATGGTACCTCACGCCTGTAATCCAAGCACTTTGGAGGCCAAGGCGGGCGGCGGATCACCTGAGGTCGGGAGTTCAAGACCAGTCTGACCAACATGGTGAAACCCCATCCTTAAAAGAAAAAAAGAAAGAAAGAAAAAAAGAATCTCTGTAATGACCACTTAGATCCTGTCACTGAAACCTGATAAAAGAACATCGACATGTCAAGCTGCAACTCCAAACCGCCAAAACTAAGCCATGAGAAACTGATTTAAGAACCTTGCTTGATTTCTATTGTGACATTCTAAAGTGGCATTCCTAGCACAGGTAGCTGTACGAACTAGTTGAACTTAAAGATCTTTTTCAGAGCTAAAGTTCAGTGATTCCATATCAAGAACCCAGAACTTGACCCTGGGGTCCTCTGTGACTTGTAGCAAGTCCAAAACATCATGTTCCACAACATTTCGGGATCTGGGAACTGGCCGTGTTATCTTAAGGCCCCAACTTACTGTGATCCCTGCAAATATCTCCCAATCCAAATGTTTATCAGGACTTGTCACGACTCTAAGAAACGACACACACTGGCAACTGTTGCACACAATGTGTCACACACAACTGTGGGTCTTCACAATGTTCCCACCTTTCCCCTCACAGAGGGAAAGTCAGGATCACCTTCCCCCCCACCCCCAGACCCACGTCCCAATCCCCCGAAAGACAGAGGAAGGAACTCGACAGATCCTTGAATCATCCTCACCTCAATCTCGTAGTCCTTCACCGGAGGGGGAGCAGCTGCAGCCGCCATGGCCAGGACCCCCACCATACTCCCCGCTTCCCGGAATCCCGGCTCCTAAGACCTTATGCGGTCCAGCCCGGCCTGCCTAGAGGCCATGGAGGCGGCCCGCTCCAATAGGAGCGAGTTGCTGGGATTCTGCTGAGCCGTCTCGGATTCCCCGCGCCCACCGACAGAGAGCCGGCGAGGAGGATGGGCCCAGATCAGCCGAGTCGAACACGGAAAAAGGCGGCGAGAAAGCGCGGGCTGCGAGATCCCTGAGGAGCGGCCAGTGTATGCAGGGTGCACTCAAAACCAGCGCTCCAGGATGAGCGCTCGGGACCCAGGCCGGGGAGGGGAAAGCAAGCGGAACGCAGATCGGGCCACAGAGCTTCGGAGGGAATTCTTGTCAATTGGGTTTTCGCGCCGTCCTGAGCGCAAGGGGCGGAGTTTACGGCTGCTTAGGAGGCTGCGCGGACGGTGAGTCGAGAGGGCCAAAATGCCTCCCTTGGCGAACTCGCAGGAGGTGGAACCACCATACTGTGGGATTGAAAGCCAACCCGGGAATTTGAACTTCTGTCCTACAGCCCAGTTTCGCAGTGGAGGACGTGATTTCACTAAGTTACCTAATCAGTTGTTGACAGAATTAAAATTTAGACTCTTAACGCCCTAGGCTAGCCGCCCCGCCCCCCTCTTTTTTTTTTTCTTTTTCGAGACTGAGTCTTGGTCGCCAGGGCCCAGCGTAGTGGCGCGATCTCGGCTCACTGCACCCTCCGCTTCCCAGGTTCAAGCGATTCTCCTGCCTTGGCCTCCTGAGTAGCTGGGACTACAGGCGCGCACCACCACACGGCTAATTTTTGTATTTTTAAGAGATGGGGTTTCACCATGTTGGCCAGGATGGTCTCGATCTCTTGACCTCGTGATCTGCCCGCCTCGGCCTCCCAAAGTGCTGGGATTCCAGGCGTGAGCCACCGCACCCGGCCGGCTAGCTCCTTTTTAAAGGTGAAATTGCCAGGCGCGGTGGCTCAGTCCTAGAATCCCAGCACTTTGGGAGGTCCAGGAGGTTGGATCTCAAGGTCAGGAGTTCGAGACCAATCTGACCAACATGGTGAAAACCCATCTCTACTAAAATTACAAAAAATTGTTCGGGTGTAGTGGCTCACACCTGTAAACCCAGCACTTTGGGAGGCCAAGGCAGGTGGATCACCTGAGGTCAGGAGTTTGAGATCAGTCTGGTCAACATGGTGAAACCCCATCTCTACTTAAAATACAAAAATTAGCCATATGTGTGGTGCATGCCTGTAATCCCAGCTACTCAGGAGGCTAGGGCAGGTGAATCGCTTGAACCTGGAAAACGGTTGTTGCAGTGAACCAAGATCGTGCAACTCCACTCCAGCCTGAGCAACAAAGTGAGACTCTGTTTGCAAAAAACAAAACAAAACAAAAAATTAGCTGGGCATAGCAGCAGGCGCCTGTAATCCCAGCTACTCTAAAGGCTAAGGCAGGAGAATTGCTTTACCCTAGGAGGTAGAGGTTGCAGTGAGTAGAGATCATGCCACTATACTCCAGCCTGGGCAACAGGGCAAGACTCGGTCTCAAAAAAATAAAAAATAGCTGGGTCGGCTGGGCACGGTGGTTTACGCCTGTAATTCCAGCACTTTGGAGGCCTTGGCGGGTGGATCACCTGAGGTCAGAAGTTTGAGACCAACCAGGCTGGTCAACAGGGAGAAACCCCGTCTCTACTAAAAGTACAAAATAATTAGCCAGGCGTGGTGGCAGGTGCCTGTAATCCCAGCTACTCAGGAAGCTGAAGCAGGAGAATCACTTGAACCAAGGAAGCAGAGGGTGCAGTGAGCCGAGATCGCGCCACTGCACTGCAGCCTGGACAAAAAGAGCAAGACTCTATCTCAAAAATAAATAAATAAATAGCTAGGTCTAGTGGCAGGTGTCTGTAATCCTACTTACTAGGCAGTCTGAGGTGTGAGAATTGCTTGAGCCCAGGAGATAGAGGGTGCAGTGAGCACTGACTGCATCACTGCACTCCAGTTTGGGTGACAGACAAGACCTTGTCTCAAACAAACAAAAAAAAGGGGGAGCAGGAATGAAAGGTGGAGTCAGAGAGCAAAAAATTGTTAACTGTGTCCAGTACAGTTAGGAGCTTTCCGAGAAGAGGTTGGAGACAAGAGGGAAAGAGGCTTTGCTGATCAGATGACCAAAGTCTTCTGATCTGAATCCAGCTCTCTGGTTACAACTTGATTTTCCAGCTATTGTGATTTTTTTCTTTCTTTCTTTCTTTTTTTTTTTTTTGAGACAGAGTTTCGCTCTTGTTACCCAGGCTGGAGTGCAATGGTGCGATCTCGGCTCACCGCAACCTCCGCCTCCTGGGTTCAGTCAATTCTCCTGCCTCAGCCTCCTGAGTAGCTGGGATTACAGGCACGCGCCACCATGTCCAGCTAATTTTTTGTATTTTTAGTAGAGATGGGGTTTCACCTTGTTGACCAGGATGGTCTCGATCTCTTGACCTCATGATCCACCCGCCTCGGCCTCCCAAAATGCTGGGATTACAGGCATGAGCCACCACGCCTGGCCTGTGATTTTTTTTTCAATAATTATATTCCTATTGTAAATAAATAAATTGGCAAGCTGCTTAGTTTGTTTCTTGGGAACCCTATTAGCAGGAGTCAGTGTCCAGGAATCCTCTGGGTATACTTGAAAAGTCTTTTCTAGACCAATGTGATGCCATGGAGATACTATCTCTCTGTAAAACCCTGTCTAACGGTCAGCTGACATTACTTCCAAACCAGCTTCCTCTCTTAACTGTGATGGACAAGAGTATTTACTCTTGAGGAGCTTGTGCTCCAAATTTAAAAACAATGCATATAAAAATTCCAAGCCTGGGCCAGGCGTAGTGGCTCATACCTGTAATCCCAGCACTTTGGGAGGCCAAGGCGGGTGGATCACGAGGTCAAGAGATCGAGACCATCCTGGCCAACATGATAAAACCCCATCTCTACTAAAATACAAAAATTAGCTGGGCGTGTTGGTGCATATCTGTAGTCTCAGCTACTCAGGAAGGCTGAGGCAGGAGAATTACTTGAACCTGGGAGGTGGAGGTTGCAGTGAGCTGAGACTGCACCACTGCACTCCAGCCTGGTGCCTGGGGACAGAGCAAGACTCTGTCTGGAAAAAAAAAAAAAAATTTTTTTTTTCAAGCCTGAGAGTGAGCAGTTTTAGAATATTTCTTTCTGTTTTCTTATTTGTTGTGTTTTGGGTATTGTGTAGATATATTAGATACACATTTCTTGCCTTCCATCAGACTAAGAAAACCAAATGGAATGAGACCAAGATTCGTGTCTTGGTTTTATGGAAGTTTTCCTTGTAATTTTACTTATTTATTTTTTATTTTTATTTTTGTAGGGATAAGGTTTCGCTATGTTACCCAGGTTGGCCCCAAACTCCTGGGCTCAAGGAATCATCCCACCTCAGCCTCCTGAGTGGCTGAGACCACAGGAGGGCACCACATGAGCAGCTAATTATATTTTTAAATCTGTAGGGTCTCTACCTGTTGCAAAGGCTGGTCTCAAACTGCTGGGCTCAAGCAATCCTCCCACTTTGGCTTCCCAAGATTACAGATGTGAACCACCATGCCCTGCCCATAAGGTCTTATTACTTACAGTCACACCCGTTGCGACAGAGACCTTCTGGTATGGCAAGCCCAAGCCCAGCTTATTTACTACTTGGTCCTTACAGAAGACACTTGCCAACACCCTTCTTAGACTTGTGCCAGAATTGCTGTCCTGTTGGTCATCTCTTAGGCATCTCTCTTGGATCCCTCATTAGACCACGAACTCCTGGGCGGTGACACCTGGGTTTTGCTGTTGCTGTTGTTTAAGACCAAGTCTCATTCTGTCACGCAGGGTGGAGTGCAGTGGCGCAATCTTGGCTCACTGCAACCTCTGCCTCCCAGGTTCAAGCAATTCTCCTGCCTCAACCCTCAAGTAGCTGGGATTACAGGTGCCTACCACCATACCTGGCTAATTTTTTTTTTTTTAGATGGAGTCTTGCTCTATCACCCAGGCTGAAGTGCAATGGAACAATCTCAGCTCACTGCAACCTCTGCTGCCCGGGTTCAAGCAATTCTCCTGCATCAGCCTCCCAAGTAGCTGGATTACAGGCACCTGTTAACATGCCTGGCTAATTTTTGTATTATTATTATTAGTAGTAGTAGTAGCAGAGACAGGGTTTCACCATTTTGGTCAGGCTGGTCTTGAACTCCTGACCTCGTGATACACCCGCCGTGGCCTCCGAAAGTGCTGGGATTACAGGCATGAGCCACCGTGCCCAGCCTGATTTTTATTTGTGGTAGAGATGAGGTTTCACTATGTTGGCCATGGCTGGTCTTGTACTTCTGACCTCCGTGACCCACCCGCCTTGGCCTCCCAAGGTGCTGGGATTGTAGGCGTGAGCCACCGTGCCTCGCTGATACCTGGGTTTTAGTAACCTCCCCTAAGGCCTGAGCTGCTGAGAGACAGCAAAACAATGATTTAAGGACCAGGGCTCTCGTGTCAGACCTGGGCTCAAATCATGCGGCTTGGAAAAGTCAATTTGCCACTTTTTTAAAAAAGTATTTTTTATTCAGAGACAGGGTCTTGCTCTGTCGCTCAGGCTGGAGTGCAGTGGCTCCATCACAGCTCACTGCAGCCTCAAACCCCAGGGCTCAAGAGATGGTCCCAGCACAGCCTCCCAAGTTGGGACTACAGGTGTGCTCCACTGCGCGTTGCTAGTAGCAGTAGTAATAGTAGTAGTAGCAGCAATAGTAGTAGAAATAGTAGCAGTATCTTTGGCGAGGCAGGGTTTCGCCGTGTTGTCTAGGTTAGTCTCGAACTCCGGGGCTCCAGGGCTCAAGCGATCCGCCTGCCTCGGCCTCCCAAAGGGCTGGGACTTTGAGCCACAGCCCCGGGCCAATTCCCCACTTTATCCCTCAGTTTCCTCGTCTGAGCAATGGAGATACATGTAGCGCTGAAGGTTAGACAAGAAAGCGATGAGTTAGTTGTGAGACGCACCTGGCGAGGGTGCTGGTTATCAGTCTCGGCAGGCCTCAGCACGTTTCCCAAGGAGGCCCAGCCGGAGGCGCTGTGCAGCAGCGGAAGAGGCGGGGTGAGCCACTGGGCGGGCGGCGCTGGGACCCGGACGCCACTTGCGCTAGGCGCCGCCGCGCGCCCGTCAATCAAGGTCGTCGTGGGGCGTGGCGCGGCGGGGCGGGGAGGGGCGGGGCTTCCGCCTGCGCAAAGCCTCGCCGGGCCGCTCGGAGGCGCCAGGCACAGTCGGGAGTTCGCGCCAGCTGCAGCCGCCCTCGCGGCCCGATGAGGGGGGCGATGGAGTTGGAGCCTGAGCTGCTGCTGCAGGAGGCCCGCGAGAGCGTGGAAGCGGCGCAGAGCTATCGGCGGGAGCTGGGTCACCGGCTTGAGGGGCTGCGGGAGGCGCGGAGGCAGGTCGGAGGGCCGCGCCCTAAGGGGCGCTGTGGGCCCGGGGGTGGCGCGGGTGCAGGGCGAGGGCAGGGAGGGCTTTGAGGGGCGGGGGTGTCAGAAAACTCTGGAGTAGGGAAGAGGCATTCATTGAAGGTGAAGAGAGACCTAGTGGGGTCTGGGCACGGGAAAGGTAGAAGTTGGGGAGGTCGTATGGGAAGTTTTGGGGGTGGAGGGAGGGTGTGAGGAGCGTTCCCTGAACTGTGGGACAGTGGTGGGAGTAGCGGTGGCTTCCGAAGTTGGGGAGAATGAGGGACCAGAGCAGAATCCGAGGGGGTCACGCGGGTAGTGATGAGTCGAGGGAGGAGACTATTTGGGAAAACCTGCGGGGGGTAGACATGGATTTTAGAGACCCTGAGGAAAGGGTGGGACAGTGACCTGGGAAAGCTGAAAGTGGAGACAAAATGGATATTGGAAGTGGAGGACTAAGGGGCGAATGTGAGGGAGAGGTAGAATTGAGAAGCAGTAGCATTGACAATAAATGAATTCGGTTAATGCCTGAATATACGATCTTGAATGCATTTAAAAAGTCGTTTAGAGTAATCCCGTTCTAGAAGGTTTAAAATTTAAGGTGAAAGTGAAGCTATGTTGGAAAAGCAGAAGAAGGAAAATGATTTTGTTGTCCTTGAGAGAGGGAATACAAAGGTATAGGGAAATGAAAAAACAGATTTTAAGAGAGGAGTGCTGAAAGGAAAAGCTAAATATACTTTCAAGTGGTGCAGTTATCTGTTTCACGGGGATTGAGTTATCAAAGATACAGGAAAGTCCTGTGGTTTTTCTACAGCCTCGAACATATACAGAACAAGATATAACCTGCTGCCATTGGGAGATAGGACAGATAATCTTCAGGCTGCTATTAAAACACAACTGCTTAATAAGTGCTTTTTTTTTTTTTTTGGGCAGAGTCTTGCTCTGTCACCCAGGCTGGAGTGCAGTGGCGTGATCTTGGCTCACTGCAACCACCACCTCCCAGGTTCAAGTGATTCTCCTGCCTCAGCCTCCTGAGTGGCTGGGATGACAGGCGTGCACCACCACCCTCAGCTAATTTTTTTGTATTTTTACTGGAGACGGGGTTTCACCATGTTGGCCAGGCTGGTCTTGAACGTCTGACCTCGTGATCTGCCCAGCTCAGGATCATGAGGCGGGCAAAGTGCTGGGATTACAGGCGTGAGCCACCGTTCCCGGCCATTAAGTGCTTTCTGAGTGAGTGAGATTCCATCTGAATTTCTCTGGGTCACACTTAGTATTAATTAATCTATATGGTCATCTTAGAACTCCCATGCTGCATAGAACCCGAAAATGGTAGAAAAGTGCTGCCTTAACAGTGTCTTTGGATATTCTCATCATTAGGGACACAACATGTTTTGGGTTATATATATATATGTAAAATGTATATAAACATATGTAAATATATACGTGTGTGTGTGTGTGTGTATATACATATATATGTATATATATATATACTTTGAGATGGAGTCTCACTCTTGCTCAGGCTGGAGTGCAGTGGCACTGTCTCAGCTCACTGCAACCTCCGCCTCCGGGTTCAAGAGATTCTTCTGCCTCAGCCTCCTGAGTTCAAGCCCTTTTCCTGCCTCAGCCTCCGGAGTAGCTGGGATTACAGGTCTGCACCACCACACCTGGCTAATTTTTGTATTTTTAGTAGAATGAGGTTTCACCAAGTTGTCCAGGCTGGTCTTGAACTCCTGACCTCATGATCCACCTACCTTGGCCTCCCAAAGTGCTGGGATTTTATATATTTAAAAATATTCGTATTTGCCCAGCTGGGTTTTATATATTTAAAAATATTTGTAAAGCCAGTGTAGGCCAGGCATTGTTTGTATTTTAGCAGTGAAACCAGAAGCAGAATCTAGATATGATTATCCCGATTTGCTGAATATTTTCAAGGCCTTTCAGTGTACTCATCTCAATTTCTCTTTGAAAGCATCTGCATTATTCCTTCTGCTGTTTTGAAATAGGGACTCTAGATCTAAGACATTGTATAAAAAGAAAAAGATTAATATACCTCTTATTATAGGACTAACATTTCAACCAGTTAAGATATATTATATGTGAATGTGACTATTATTTGTGCATTCTCAGCATTAGCAATTAAGAAGCAGTAGAGTTGACACTAAATGAGTGAGTTTAGCACCTGGGAGTAGTTATTAATTTCTTGTGATCTTGGATACATTAAAAAAATTATGTGATTATGCCTAGATGGTTCAGTATTCAATTTTCAAACCTATATATTTTTTTCATTTTATATCCAACAATTTAAACACAGGACATGCTTTTCTGTAATTCAGTTTAGTATGAGATTTGTTTTGTTTTTGAGGCCCATTGTCTTGGGCTTCAGACAGAAAACACTAAATGGATGTCTGTCACAATTAGGTTCCTGATGACATTGCCTTCTGACTAGACTGAGTAATAACGTAGTTCTCTTTTGTGAGCATGAGTCTCTTTTGGGAATGTGTTTTGTGCCGATGGCAGTTAAAACAGCATCTCTCGAACTCTAGTGGATTGTGCATGTTTGGGTTTGTGGCATAAGTCCTCTGTCAACTTGCATTTTAAGGAAGGTCTATGGTACAAAAATATTATCAAAATAAGCAGCTGCTTTTGTTTGGTGGTTAGGATATTTTTAGGGTTCCAGTCATTTTCAGAATAACTATGTAAAATATATGGCACTTTAGTCAAGGATTCTGCATGGGAGAAACATGAGAAGAACGGAGAGGAAGGGATGCTACCTGTTGTCTATATTTTTTACTTGCTGATTTTATATCTTTTTGGCATATGATTTTTTTTTTTTGAGACAGGGTTTTGTTATGTTTCCCTGGCTGGTCTCCAACTCCTGGGCTCAAGGATCCTCCCACCTCTGCCTCCCAAAATAATGGAATTACAAGTGTAAGCAACTGTGCTGCCTGGCATGTGATTTTTTTTTTTTTTTTTTTTTGAGACAGTTTCGCTCTTGTTGTCCAAGCTGAGTGCAATGGGGTGATCTCAGCTCACCGCAACCTCCGCCTCCCAAGTTCAAGGGATTCTCCTGTCTCAGCCTCCCAAGTAATCTGGGATTACAGGCATGCGCCACCATGCCAGGCTAATTTTGTATTTTTAGTAGAAATTTCTACCAAAATCTCAACATGGGGTTTCTCCATGTTGGCCAGGCTGGTCTTGAACTCCCGACCTCACGTGATCCTCCCGCGTAGGCCTCCCAAAGTGCTGGGATTACAGGCGTTAAGCCACCATGCCCGGCCTGTGATTTTTTTTGTTGAGATATAATTCACATGCTCTGAAAGTCATGCCTTAAAGTTTACAATTCGTGGTTTTTAGTACATTTACCGAGTTGTCCAACCATGACCACTGGCTAATTCAAATATATTTTCTTTTCTTTTTTTTCTAAGATAGGGTTTCACCGTGATGGCCAGGCTAGTCTTGAACTCCTGACCTCAGGTGATCCACCCACCTCAGCCTCCCAAAGTGCTAGGATTAAAGGTGTGAGCCATCACGCCGGGCCTCAAATATATTTTTATCACCCCCAAAAGAACTCCTTAGCTGTCATTCCCATACCCCCGGCAACCATAAAACCACTTTCTGTCTCTATGGATTTGCCTATTCTGGACATTTTATATAAATGAACTCATACCATGTGTAGCCCCTTGTGACTGACTTCTTTGACTCAGAATAATGTTTCAAGGTTCATTGAAGTGGTAGCATGTAACAGTACTTCATACCTTTCTATGGCTGAATAATGATTATGTGGATATACCATATTTTATTTATCCATTCATCAATTACTAGACATTTGAATTATTTCCACTTTTGACTATTATGAATAATGCTGCTATGAAGAATTTGTGTACAACTTTTTGTGTGGACATGTTTTCAGTTCTTTTAGAATATAGCTAGGAATTGCTGGATCACATGGTAACTTTTTGTTTAACTTTTGCAAAAACTCTTGGCATACCTTTTATCTTTTTTTTTTTTGAGATGGGGTCTTGCTCTGTTGCCAGGCAGGAGTACAGTGGGATGATCCCAGCTCATTGCAACCTGTGCCTCCCAGGTTCAAGCGATTCTCCAGCCTCAGCCTCCCGAGTAGCTGAGACTACAGGCATGCACCATCATGCCCAGCTAATTTATTTTTAGAGACGGAGTTTCACTCTTGTTACCCAGGCTGGAGTGCAATGGCGCGATCTCAGCTTACTGCAACCTTTGCCTTCTGGGTTCAAGTGATTCTCCTGCCTCAGCATCCTGAGTAGCTGGGACTACAGGCACGTGCCATCACACCTGGCTAATTTTTTGTATTTTTGGTGGAGATGGGCTTTTGCCATGTTGCCCAGGCTGGTCTCCAACTCCTGAGCTCAGATGAACACCTGCTTTAGCCTCCCAATGTATTGGGATTGCATGCTTGAGCCATTGCACTCAGCCTTTTTTTTTTTGCCAGAGTCTTTCCCTGTCACCTAAGCTGCCAAGCTGGTGACATGATCAGAGCTCACTGCAGTCGTCTTCCTGGGCTCAAGCCATCCTCCTGTGTTAGATCCCCAGATTCCCAAGTAGCTGGAACTTTAGGTACACACCACTATGCCCACCTAATTTTGTTTAAATTTTTTTGTAGACATGATGTCTTTCTGTGTTTGTTAAGTCAGTTTATTTCCTTTTTTTTTTTTGTTTTTTTTGAGACAGAGTCTCACTCTTTTGCCCAGGCTGGAGTGATGTGGCACGATCTTGGCTCACTGCAACCTCCCCCTGTTGGGTTCAAGAGATTCTCCTGGCTAGGCGTGGTGGTTCACGCCTATAATCTCAGTACTTTGGGAGGCCGAGGCGGGTGGATCATGAGGTCAAGAGATCGAGACCATCCTGGTCAACGAGGTGAAACCCCATCTCTACTAAAAATACAAAAATTATCTGGGCATGGTGGTGTGCCCCTGTAGTCCCAGCTACTCGGGACGCTGAGGCAGGAGAATTGCTTGAAT